ATAAAGTTACTTCACGTAGGCCAATATGACGGAGAATCTGCACAGGGGCCCATGTCTAATAGGTTTTATCATAGCCAATGACGTGCTGACTTGATGTTACCAAATTGGCGGTATCACTCCCATTGGAAAGCAGTGCAGTAGAGCTTACTAAAAGGGGAATGGTAACAATCGATTTCGTCATTTTCCTTTAATAGTGCGAAATTGAATGTAATGGGAATGGAATGCTGCTGAAAGTGATTGACGGAGAAGATTTTGTCAGTAGTTCATCACAACCGATGACCAGAAACTCACGAAGTTCGACGCAGGTTTTGAGACTTGTTGGAACAGCTCAATGACCCTGGTGTGTTTGTGTGCGTTTTCTATGGGTTTTACGTCAAAACCAGTTGGATTAGCTGTTCCACTTCAACGTCATCTGATCGCAGTAGTAAGCTCTACTTTCACAATTACGTCGACTAGCTGCCTCTCAATGGAGTTTCCACACTAAAGACGTATGCTCTCACAGTTCACTGCCTACATGTTTACTGTCAACATCTCTCACGCTATTTAACCTTTTCAAATGCTTTTACTCACTTACTCTTTTACTTATAGTAGGCATATAAGCGTAATTATGGAATATAATTGATTGAAAATCAGAGCGAATTAGAAGCCCTGCCCTGGTTCATATTGAGAGCTTGAAAGCCTAAGAGTCAAATAGTTTAAAAGGGTGTAAAAAGAAAAATAAAATAAATGAATGCATTGTGGAAATCAAGCAACAAAACATAACATAAACGGATAAGAAGGCACACAGACAGAACAATGTAAGAGAAGTAATGAGTTCTGGATAATAAAAGAAGGACAGTTAGGGATGGAGGAAATTGGAAATTTCCCAATCTCCTCCTTGCACAACTTCTAGGCAGGTGGAATTGTTTGCCCTTGACAGACCCCTCAACTGCAAGGATTTGGCTTATTCGAATCCACCTGATCAGGTATAACAGACCGAGGACACAGCCACCAGGACCTTGATCTTATGATGAGTCCAATCGTTTTTGCTGGCGACAACTTTATCCTTTATGTTTTCAGTCAATTTTAATAATATCGGATGGTGCCGAAAATGGCAAGTGAAACTGCTGCCCTCACATCACGAAAGTGCTAAGGCTGAGAAGCCCAATGAAGCGGTTCCACAACGTCGGCTCCTGAATCCCATAACAATTCATATGACAGCTCCAATAGAATTGAAACTGGAATTGTATTGTAAGTCAAAGTTCCCTAACTAACGATTTCATGAAAAAAAAAGTTGCCTAAAGAATCTGCGCCCTGAAACAATGGTGTTCATGGGTTTGTCCTGCAGAGAAGTGTTGATTCAGCCCGAACTCGTTCTTTTGTTCTTATTCTGTTTCAAGTTCTGATTGGAACCATGAAGACCTGTGCATATCCTTGCTGTGATTCATATATTACCGACCAGTGGTGTGTCAGGCAAGGCCGATTGTCTGGAACCGAGTGCAACTTAATTCATCGGCTTACCTCCGACCATCATAAAGGATCAGCTCGCCGTTTTTGTCGAATTTGAATGCGTCGGACGGATACGCGGAACCGGTTGGCGACGATGAATCAGCGCTTCAATCTTCCGTCGGAGCGTTCCCACAGCGGTTTTCCTTTGCTATTGTACATGATCATTTATTCTTTGCAGCGATTCAGTGGCGTGTAAATTTCTTGAAAAAAAGTGATCCTTCTGTGAAATTTTCTCGTTCATTTGATTTATGAAAACACGTTGCTCAAGTTCTTACGCAAATTTTCTCCCTCAAGTAGGTTGCAATAAAGGTGGCACTTAGGTATACTGGAAAAATGGAATCCAGCCAATACCCAGTCCTTCCTTTGGCAAGCTAGGGTAAGACCGGTATACCTAGAAATGACAGGGAGCGGCAAAGACTGAAGAGAACAGGCCTTAGTCAAGTACTCCCTGACAATACCTCTGATTTGATTATTTTGCATAATCAAAGTGAACGTACGCATCTTCACTAAATATATCAATCGCATGTCAGTCGAACGCTATCTTGCAGCATCGCTAGATTTTCGCGTTGCTTTAACGAGGTCTAGCCGATTTACGGCCTTTATAGAGGTCATTTTCGAACTTTAAGTGGCGTGTCGATCGCCGTCGTTGAAATCTACTCGATTTCACGAGGTAATTGTGAGTGACCTCGAAAAGAAACCCCCGATCGGTAACCGCATTGTTGAAAGCGGATCGATTTGCAACGTTGGGTTTTACGTTATTTCGTTATTTCTCAAGAATTACAGTACTTTGTGTGCCCTATCTGTTTACTTAACTACCGATCCGGAACCTTCAATAACATATTTGCTGACGTTTTAATCTCCTGTTTAGTCGCTGATGCATGGTGTCATGAACAATGTTCAACTATCAAGGATCATCCTACTTTGTCCTCGATCCTACAAGGGCAACTATGATCCACTGTTTCGCCACAGTGAACTTAACCACTAAAAAAAACGCTTGTAATATGGCTTACATAGCCATTTAGACAACCGCACTGCTTCACAAAATGTCACTTGCCTAAACCAAAGATTGAACTCCTATAGAAGTTTTCCAGGATGTGGAAAATGTGCTTCAATTTGGATCATAACCTAAAAAGCCCCTAAAACCTATACCTACTAAAACTTAAGGAATGGCGCGGTGTACCCTCTTTTTCTATAGGTCCTCCAACTGCAAAACGCCTTTTTTCAAGATTGTTAAAGGTAAAGAGGGTGAGAGAGGGGACGGATCTTCTATTAAAGTGCGTACGTGACCCTTTGTTTTGGATCTTTAGATATGAAGCTCAAACTAGAAAAACATAGATGTCCTAAAAATACAACCAAAAGAGAGAACTTGAAAATCGTTGCCTATCATGAAAAACTCTACTCAAATCACTCATAACCACTTCACAAGCTGTTCGCTTCACACTCAGCGTGAGCACTTGTGAATAGGCGCAACCTCTTTTTTTTCCAAAAATTCTCAACGAACCGGTTTGTGAAGGGTATTATATGTGCTCCATTGTCTTCACTAGTGACCCTAGATTTCCAGTTATTCTACCAAAAATCACCTCCAACTGTGTCACACTCTTCGATCTTTGCGTCCATTCTTTTCCGAATTTTTCAATTCACCTTATGAAGAGCTATTTACTTAGTCCCTTGTTTACCCAAGCTAGTAATGTAAATATTCCCTCTGTGAAAGTTACAGTACTGCTTCATAGTTGTCATTTTTTGCTGAAAGG